TTTGGTCTGTTAGGATAACAAATTGTCCCAGAAGTCTTTGCGATAAACGATAATATTGTTGTTTTTCATTTTTAAGTAATATAGAGAAAATGGCATAATGCAAGAACACATTCTTAAAGATCAATAAACTTTAAATTCTAGCAAACGGTGAACACATTTGGAACTGGAAGACATTTAAAATGTCAAAAATAAACAAACAAAACAAGAAAAACAACAAATAAAACAAAGTCTCTGTAAACAAAATTATCCTTCAATTCGCTGAGACCAGACTGAAGAATTTTATCATCCAGTTTTTGGTAGCAAGAGAAAAATGATAAATCATGCAAATAGAAATTATTGCGCTCGCTTTAATTTCTAAGGCGATTAATTGATTTATTGGTTATTGTGACAGGCCTATGCAGCATCAGTGCAAAAATACCCCAAAAAGAAAAAAACACAGGGATCGGTTAAGTTTGCGTGAATTTCCACAATAAAACAGAGGGATTGACTGATGTCAGAGGGCCACAAAAACAGTCTATGGTGGGCAAAACGTGGCCCGCGGACCTTATGTTTGACACCACTCTCTGTGTCTTCATGACAGTAAGTGATATTAGTTTCAGGTCTAGAAGATAGTCAATCACCATTTAAAAGTTAATAATAATTGGAGTATTTACAGTGAAAGCTGTGTTGGTCTCACCAGGGGAAAAATCTGCTACAAAGGTAACGAGGTGCAAAACACAAAAACATTCCTGGACATCCAATAAATGCTGGTTTATTTTCCCCTCCGATGATCATAAGAGGTTTAATTTTAGCCGTTTTGTGAGCGCACATTAAATATTGCACTGATACATCTGCTGACCACATGTTTCCTAAACCACACACTGGGAGTGTGCGTGTGTTTCGAGTAGGAGGGAATTAGTATTTTTTATTTTTTTTTTTATGTTCATGTGTTAACTGGCTCCATTCAGAAGAATTAAAGACGCACCCCGTCTCAACTCCTCAGCCCTCATGGGGAACGGTGATCCTCCTGTTGATCTGCTCAACACTCAATCTTATTCTTAAACTCTTCTACTTCATTAGTCTCAGCCTGTTTTGATCCAACAGAGTAACATCATTAGCTTCTACGCTGCAAAAACACAATGTAGGAGATATTTCCAGTGCAAAGACAAGACTAATTTAGCAAGAAATAAGAGTTAGTTTTAGGTCAGGAGTGTCCAAACATTTTGCCACACACTGTAAAACATTTACATTTGGTTTAACCTGAAAATGAAAGTCCACCTGCTGTCTTGAAAATGCAAATTAAGTCGACAAGAAAATTGTTTTGGTTTCAACTCGGAAATTAAAGTTCATGAAGTTGATTTAACAACAAGAGACAAGTTGTCTAAACTGTTTTTTAACTTCATTAATCTTGAATTGTGAGTTTTAACTAAAAGCTTTCCTCTCCTGGTTAAAGAGCCACATTTCTATATTATTTTACTCACAACATCAAGTTAAAATAAATACTGATTTTACTATAGAATAATTTAAATTCTTGTTTGAACAAAATTTCTGATCTGATGATGAATTTTATTAAACATCCCAATGAATTCAGCTCAGAAACATTTAGTGTGATCAGGACATTATCCTCAAGCTTTGCTGACTGAGAATTGCATTAAAATGAACATTTGCCTTAATAAAACACCAGAGTCAGATCAACGTAACGCACTTCCATCTCAGGAGACAGAAACATGCCGCTAAGCATTCTGGGAAATAGCTCCCACTTTTTCTTCTTTCAGTTTTTTAAGTGCAAACCTAAAAACTCAGTTTATTCAACTCTTGGTGACTAAATTAATAAAAAGTTAACACAACACATTTAGGTTCAAAATCTGAAACTGGATAAATTTATTCAAAACAAACTTAAATCTTGCTAAAAAAGTTACTTGTAAGTCAGTGAATTCAACTGAACTAAGATATTTGCACTAGACAAAAATACTTGCTAAGATTTTGTGTTTTTGCAGTGTAGAAGCTCATTGATGAGGTAAATTAAATTTGAGGATTCCCCAAATTCGAGACTTACCAAATAGTTTCCTGCAGTTTCTGCTGCAAAAATCCTACGTAGTTCACTTGAAATAAGACAAAACTAAAGTAACTTTTCAGGAAGATATAAAATCTTGTTTCAAGTCAACAATTGCTTAATGCTGACTGTAAAAACGACAAGTTCCACTGGCAGATTATTTCACTTTTACCTGGAGAAAACATCTTGTTATAATCAAAAAACTATCTGATAGTGAAGCTCCTACTTTTTCATCAGACTCACAGAATTATTTACTTAAACTCTTGCTGAAAAGTTACTCGTGAGTTAGTTTGTCTTAAATTCAATGTACTGCGATATTTGCTCTAGAAACTAAAATATTTGGTAGGATTTTGTGTTTTTACAGTGTGGTTATCAATTTCAGAATTGTAAATAAAGCAGATTCTACACCGTCTTTATATTTGCCTAAAGATCCCACTGGTAGAAAATGCAGTAAGAAAGAAACTGACTGCACGGCGTGGCAGATTGCACAAACTCAAACTTGAGGTTTTCCAGGCTTTGATCAAATACTGGAGCCTAACAGTTCCTTCCACAAGCAGCAACATTATGCAGCAGTATTTCTAAATTTTCTAGTCATTAGTGTGTAGAGAAGGTGACGCAATTCATGCTTGGATGCCACCCCAGTAAGCAGAACTGCCAAGAAGGCAGAGCGGACGGGCCAGGGTGAAGTCAGCGTCTGAGGAACACTGGAGGTAGTCAGGATGAGCGAGTGCACTGGGCACCAGCTCCGAGCCGGGCCTCTCTGAGGATTCCTGTGCAGCTACACCAGCAAGACCCCACCCAGTGCAGAAGGGGATCTGTCAGGACGCACCACATCTAAAGTAGCCTCTCACTAAACACTTCAAGCTGAGCATTTTTCCTGTGTTTTCTGAGAGGAGCGTTATTGTGTCCGTCTCCACTTTTATGTCTCTGAGCCGCCAAGAGATGGAGTCGAAACCCCGAATCCGCCGACTTATGTGAGCGTTAGCAGGCTTTGCAGCTTGAGGGTGAGATGTAGTGATGAGTGCGATTAAAAATGTCGACGGAAAATTAAAATAAATCTTTGCTGTGCTGCACAAATGATTCATTATGGGTTGTCCTGAAGTGCAGAGGAAAGAACCAATTTGGTCAAAAGCAGGGAACAATCAAAATATTGTTGGCATTATGTTTAAACACTAGAGTTAGCTCTGTTTTTGAACGCTAATGGTGCGTTCACACCAAATGCATTCTGGTTTACATCAAAGTCTATGTGGATTTTAGCAATTGTAGGATTTCTCTTTTCGGCATCCATGTATGCATTCGATCCGCACCAGAGTTCACTTCAACCAAACCGAGGTTTTTAGGCAAGTTTTTGGCCAAACTGCTCCTTAAATGAGGCCACTGTGTTCCTAGAAAGAAACTCCATTTTACTCAGCCACCTCTTCATATAATTAGGCTGAATTTACAAAACAAATCTAATTTTTTTTTTTTGTTTTTGCTGTGAGAAAAACAGGCAAAAAAAAAAAAGCAAAACTAAGACCAAATAAAATGATAAACCCACCGATGGGAGAAGAAGTAGATAATGGATGCAGGAAATTGTTTGCACAGAGACAATCCCTGAAAATAACATTTCACATCCACTAAATTGTCTCCTGGAAACGGTTGTTATGCTTTTCTTTTGTGGAAACCAATTGCAGACAAACCTGCCCAAAGAACATTTTCCAACAAGTCGAAGGAACCGCGTCTCCTGTTAGACTTTTCCCCAACCTTACTGGTCTGTTTGTGTTCAGTTTACATTTATGTCATATTCAGTTTGTATTTTATTTAAAAACATGAAAAAAAGCATATGTGGCGAAATTCTTCCATCATTCAACATTCTGGGAGCAACATAACACATACTCATTTAAAACCTCTTTCTCTATATTTTGAGTGCAATAGTTTTGTTTTCCTTATAGAAACGTTAAAACTTCTCACTTATTTTAACTAGCCATCAAGTTGACAGCATAACATGCTAAATTTTAAATGTACATGTGATATATATATAAGAAAGGATGCATTATTTTGCTAATAATTATCAACAGTACAATAACTAGATAAGAAAGTCCAAAAGTATCACATTTCACAGGTCAGTAAAACGTCTTATAAAGAAAGAAACATGGCGAGTGAGATGAACGTAGCTTGCATGCTAGCTTGACTTTGCCAACTTTAACATGTAGCTGTGCTGCTGAATTGGCGTGTTTTGGTTGATTTGGAAGAAATAAGGCGCCACACAAAACACTATCTGACAGATCAATAGAGCAGGAGTTTAAATTAGCTAGTCAACCACCGCTTTGCTCAGATAAATCACCTATTGATAATTGCAAAATAAACATCAAGCCTGAAAACACAAAACTGTAAAGGACTAAATGTTCTGCTCTTTACAACTGAATATTGTAGACAGAAAAAAAAAAAACTCAGACATATTTTTTGATTCACTTCAGAAATTTTCTAGAAAAAAAAAGCTTGAAATTTTAAAATTCAAAAGTCTGACATTTTTATGACTTTTCCAGAAAATTTCTGAGATGATTAAAAAAATTCTGACTTTTTTCTCATGTCTAGTTTTCTAGTACTCTGTGTGAGAAATGTTATCGTGTTTTTTGGTGTTAAATCCTGACACATTTCAACATGATCTCTACTTGGTCAGCTAGTGGAGCTGTTGTCAGTCAATTGCCATGGCAACGGGTCTGTGTGTGTGTGTGTGTGGTATAAGGAAAAGAAGAATGCAAGTAGTTTCAAGTCGTTCATCGTTTTTTTCTGCATGACTTTCCCCTTTGCTCTGGCACACCGCACTAAATTAATAACACCTCCATCTCCAGGTTTCATTTAGTTAACGCGGCCATGGATGGCAAGTAAAAGACTCGTCTTTTTTGCCCTCCAGAAAGGAGCAGATGTAAACAACAACAACAACAATAAGCAACAAGGACCTTCTACCATGAGCATAAACGTAACTTACCAAAGCCGAAAGCAGCGGGGGCAGGAATGGGAGCAGACTGGACTGGGGTGGATGTGTAGAGGCCAGTCACCAGCAGACCATCGAAGGGGACACTGGTAGAGATGGAGACTGAAGAAACAGAAGGGAGGAAGGTTTCTTTAAAAAGCTGAAGGGAAGATTCATGCCTCATCGAAGCACAAAGAGGTAAAATGTTGATCACGTGTTAGGCGGCACACATTTATAAGTGCAATAATCTGCCAGTGGAACAAGTATTTTTTCTTCAATATTAAGGAATGATTGACTTAAAACCAGCTCCCATATTTTACTGAAACGTTTCTTCCAAGTTAAGTTTCTTATTTCAAGTGTGCTAGGATATTTGCACAGAAAACTAGACCAAAACTACTTAGTAAAATATGTTTTTGCAGTGTAACAACTTTCACCTTTGAAGTAAATCACTGAAACGACTAAACAAACATTTTCAAATTTGCTGACATGAACCTGAACAATGAAACTAATAATTTACTGAAACAAATGGTAATTCAATGACACAGAAATGTAGATTCACAAATAACCCCTCTTTTAACAAGACTTGTCCCTATCGACATACGCATTAGAGAAAACTGATGAGCTAATTGGCTGTAACCCGAACAGCTTTGCTCTCCTCGGACAGCGGAAAACCTGAAAGCGCATCAAGCTGAACGCATCTACAGCCCTGTGCATCCTGTAGAAAGTTAACCATTGATTTGTCTGGTAAGCAAAAGCCTGCAGTGACAGGCCCACAGAGTCGGCTTTAACTCTGGAAAAAGAGGGAGACCGGCTACTGGACCGCTTCCAGTCAGACGGCGCAGAGCTCAGGGGAACCGTCTGACGTTCCCCCTCCAGAAAAACAGCTCTGCACACAGAGGAGCAAAACGCTTTGCTGCAGTGAAACATGGAGGTCTTGATACTTCCTGACCCTGGGATCCCCGCGCTTACTGAGAAGTAATGAAGAGAATAGGAGACACCTCACAGTGTTAATGTGTTTTTCTTTTAGTATGAATAGAAACATAATCAGTTTAGTCCCAGGACGCTCGTTCTTCTGGGCTTGGTGTGTTTTCATGGGCAGAGCGGATTCCTGGTGGGTCCATCTGACTGGGAGACGTGTCCCACAACACAGCCAGGACCGAACCATGTGTGTGCACTGTAAAACATTTACAGGTGCTTTAACTTGACAATGAAAGTCCACCTGCTGCCTTGAAAATGCAATTTAAGTCGACAAGAAAATTGGTTTGATTTTAAGTCAGAAATTAAAGTTCATGAAGTTGATTTAACAACAAGAGACGAGTTGACTAAACTTTGTTTTTTATCTTCATTAATCAATAAAAACTGGCCTCACCTGGTTAAAGAGCCACATTTCTCTGTTATTTTACTCAAGTTAAAATAAATACTGATTTTACTTTAGAATAATTTAAATTCTTGTTTGAACAAAAGTTCTGATCTGATGATGAATTTTATTAAACATCCCAATGAATTCAGCTCAGAAACATTTAGTGAGATCAGGACATTATCCTCAAGCTTTGCTGACTGAGAATTGCATTAAAATGAACATTTGCCTTAATAAAACACCAGAGTCAGATCAACGTAACGCACTTCCACCTCAGGAGACAGAAATATGCCGCTAAGCATTCTGGGAAATAGCTCCCACTCCTGTCTTTCTCTTCTTTCAGTTTTTTAAGTGCAAACCTAAAAACTAAGAAGTTAACACAACTTACTGCTGTAAGTTTATCTTTCACAAATTCACATTTAGGTTCAAAATCTGAAACTGGATAAATTTATTTGACTTAAAGAGTAGAAGACAGTAGACACAACTACATGCGGCTCTAATGTTTTACAGTGTGTCTGAATGTGTGTGTTCCCTGTGATTTTGTGTACGTTGGACGCGTTACACCCCGTCTGCGGCGTTCGGCCATCTCCCTCTCCCAGGCTCTCATCCATATCAAAGCCTCAATAATTCATCCCATTACCGTCTTTATTGCATCCAGACATTTCCTGTTCTGTCACAATCCTTAAACTCATAAGTCACATTTAAAACTCAACACTTTATTTTACACACCCTCAACCCAACTAGAACCTAAACATGCAGCCAACAGACATATTTTGGCTGCCATCTTTATTTAGTTTCAGCATCAAATTAAATTTTAGCAGATAGAGCACATGTGTCAAACTCAAGGCTAGTGGGCCAAATCCGGCCCGCCATAGCATTTTATGTGGCCCTCTAGATTCTAGACAGAACACTAAATGTGCTTAAATATTATATTTTCAATCAAATCAATGCAGTTTTTATCTGTTTACTGCCAAATCGTATCAATCAGTCCTTCCAGTTTTGAGAATTATTGTGGAAATTTACGCAAAATCAACAAATCTCTGCACTTTTTTGCGCTAATACATCATTGGGAGTTTGTTGCAGATTTTTCTCAAAAACTTTATTGCTTCTACTAAACATCTGCCTCAGATTTAATTGATGTCAGAATACAGTCAATGATCTTTACAGTGAGTATTAAACAGTTGCATTTATCGTCGTAAAAAAGTGCAAATATTTCCAAGTCAGTACAACAAACAAAATCCTGGAGGGACTGAAAAGATGTTCAATAATATTATTTAAGTTTAAGAATTCATTGATATTTTAACAGTTTGTAAACAGGTTTTATAAATACATTTTAGCACAACCGGCCCTTTCAGAGCATTCATGATCTTGATTTGGTCCAAAAACAAAAATGAGTTTGAAGCCCCTGAAATGGAGTCAAAACATAAAAACCCTTAAACCAGCCATGAAGATGAAAGGTAGTATTATGTATTATGCATTTTCCAGGCACATAGAGCCATTTTTTTTTACCACAACAGTAGCTGCATTTCCATTACAAACGTGTGCAAAACTGTCAAAATCCACTCATGTCGAATAAACACAATTTTGCAATTGCAATTTTTCCCTTAAATCAGAAACATGATTAAAAGTCATATCTGAATAAGTTTGTTCACATGATAAGTAATTAAAAACAACCTGCGTCATCGTCCTCCTACCACTTCCTGCCATCTTCTTCATCGTTTCCACCAGTAGTAACATCCGGTTGTCGATCACATGACTCGTGTGAGGCAATAAAAGTGTTTCAATTGCAGCTTTTCAAAATTCACCAATTTCTATAATGCTGACAAACATATCCAACAAATCCATGAAATGTAAAGTTGTAGGGGATGTTCACCTTCTGACGATGGTCTGAAACATCCAACCAGATGGTGCTACAAGGGAATGGCCCAGTCAAATCCACAGCTAAAATATCAGCTTATCTGAAAATGGATGATCACAGTTTCTCTCCATCTCATCTGAATAAGCTTGAGCTCTTCCGTAAGTTAGAACGGGAAACATTTTGCATTCTCTGGATGTACACACTTGGCAGAGATGTACTCCATAACACTTTTTACATTACTGACAGAGAAAAGACAAAACCTTGTATCATTTTCCATCACTTTTACAAGCATGCACTGCTTTGTGCTGGTCCGACACATGATACTGGTCATCGTAACGCAAGAAAATTAGATAAAAATGAAACTACAGCCAGATTGGAGAATCTAAACATCAACTCCGACTTTTTGGAAATAAAATTTAAGGCTGGAAAAATGCAACAAAAAAATATCAAGAGTAAGTCTGTGAAAATAAGTCCCTCAGCAACTTGAACAAGAATCAGTAAAAGCTTAAAATATAATACAGATTAAATAAAAACAGCTGAAAAATATTTTATCAATTCCTTGTTTCTGACTGAACATCTGCATCAACCACAAACTGCAAAAATAAATCTAATTTACGTGAATAAGTTTCATCTTTATATGATAACAAACATAACATGCTTTTCATTTCCCCTCCAAGCACATTACCTATTCAACAAATCCATTAAATGTTAAGCTGAGACATGTTTCATTAGTAATTGCATTCTGCAGTATTGATCCAAGGCCGTGACATTGTACTGTATTTAATAGAGTAATGCATTAAACTTGGAGCAGCCAAAATGCTAATTTCTGCAATTCCACTGACCTGCATCACCAAGGTTACACACCCTCCATTACTCCAAAAAGATACTGAAAAAAATAAATAAAAACCTGGCTCTGTAATGCAAATCAGCCCATGTTCATAATGTTCTTCCAGGGGTAAATGAGGGAATCATTTTCCCTTGCAGAAATGCACCTGAAGGCGGGCTGGTGAGCAGGTTGGAGAAGGGTAGGGGGGGTTGGGACTAAAAAAAGGAGAAGGTAAAGCTGGGGCCAGAAGGTTACCGCTGAAAAACAAGAGCAGGAAGATACGGCGTAGCGGAGCCGCCCGAGGAGAACCGCGCTACCTGATCAATACAAATCCAAGATCTAAATTATTTAGCCTGGCCTCCAACAACCCCCACCCTGCCGCACTCTCACTCGCCTGTGTAACGCATCAGACAGATGAGCCAATCAGATGAGATGGGATCAGATCCAATCACCTGTGGGGGTACTTTACGCTCACACACACACACACACGTTTCAGAAAAAGGGCCTTTGATGCTAGCCGTTAACATTCTCGTCCATACTTCATTTTTTGAGAGCTGTTCGCTTTGGCCGAAGGGGATGAGGAGCCATGAGGGAGGAATGAGGCTGAAATTTACTACTGAGCGTCTCATTCAGAGAGCATTAAGGTTCAGTGTGATGGAGAACGCGTTTGTTTACACCGTTTACCGTTGATGTGCAAACAACACAAGCGTAAGGTTTGAAGCGGATCAGGGAGACATCTGGACTGAATTTAGGACGTTTCCTGCGTAAGAAACGTTTGGTTTGCAAATCAACGACACAAACACACGAAAATAGAAATCAGTTCTGGGAAAAATTGTGTATTCTGCAGTTTCATGTGGAAAAAACTAAACAATTTCTTATTTTAGCATTTAAAAAAAAGACCAAAGCTTTTAATCTAAGCTTCTGATCTTTCTGAATATATAATTAGCAATTTTAGTTACTAAAAGGGTCAGAGATGCAAAAGGCAATCAAGATGAGACCGCATTCCAGCATGATGATGTATTTGCACATCTGTAAGAGGTTTGAAGTGAAGTTCTGCAAAATCCTCATCACACTGTATGCAT